ATAATATATTGGCTAATAAAATTAATAAATAAATTTTATTCCAAAGTCAAAAATAAGAACTAAATAAATATAGTAATACCCCGCATAGTATGACTTCAATCAGTCCGGGTTCACTACAGTGAGATTTGAAAATTTCAAAACAAACTAAATTTTAATTGAGCAAATTCGAAAAAAATACTACAAAAAAATATTTGTTTTATACAAGAATTGTCGTTATTTTTTTTTTTCTCAATACAATCAAGTCGCTTTATGTGTTATACATTTTTATGTTCTTCATAGGTGATTAGTCCGATATATTGGCGGAACAGATTACCCGTACTATACGAGGAATTGCTGTATAAATAACTATAAACGTTTAACTGGCGCATTTATAAAAAAAAAATGAATTGTGACCAGTTTGAAATGTAATTTATATTTTGAAATTGCTGCGAACAAATAAACCGTTTGTAAATTAAGCTTTATTTATTATATTATAATGGTGTGCATTTATCGTTTTCTAGTCGAATAAATAACTAACAGCTGATCATGTCCATAAATTCAATGAATTAATACTTTATTTTTGTCTAACCGTTTACACTAAAATTAATGTAATTATTCTATATATTTAATTATTCTGTCTAATATACATATAAATAGACCAAAAATATTGCAGTGTATTTGAAATTTAGGTCATATATTTTATCAATTATAAGTTTTTCACTTTTGCGCATTTTGTTTGAATATTATCATTTTCTTAATTGTGTCCTATTTATATTGAGTTGTCTATAAATCGATTTCAGTTAAACGATTTGATGCTATTTTTATCTGTTGATATGAATATTTTACAACAATTTGATTCTTTGAGTCACTACTGCAGAATTCCAACAATGGTTGGTATTTGGTCCATCTTCTTTAAAGAACATCTTGTTATATATTTCATGTATTATAGTTTGCAATGCTGTATGATCATATTTCAGCGACTCGTTGGTTTATATCAACTATGTTTTTCAATATCTGATTGACATATGTCGATCAATCTACTTCAAAAGATTTCATTCTTGCTATTCTCTTCAAATTTCGCAAAAAAAATAAGTTTGGAATATGATACAACTTAAATATTGGTATACAATGGTTGGTATTGTATCTATATCTTTTAAACAACATATTGTTATAAATTTCATGTAATAATAATAGGTTGGATCATATTCAAACGATTGATAGTGTAAACTAAATTTATGTAGATAAGTAACTTCATTTAAATTATGATATTAATGTGCACTAAACTATATTCTGAGAGATATTCATTATAGTCGACTTGATCACATAACTTCTAACAATGACCTCGTCCTTGTTGTCGGTATAATTAGATAATATCTATATTCTCCTTTGGATTATGCAATTTATGATTGAAGAATAGAATAATCAGATTTAGCATATTTACAGTACAGCAAATATACTAAATCAATACATATTAGCGGCGGAAGTTCAAATCTTTGTACTTGGCAAAATATTATTTGGGCCCCTAAATCGATAGTTCCGATACTCATACATATGCTAATTATGTTCATTTGAATAATCGTATCAAGTTTTGTTATAAAATTATTTTATGCAATATTTAAAGACTAATTAAGAATAATCTTCTTGTAAAGCAAGGGGACCAAACAAAAAAAGTTTGAGAATTAGACATATTTTGTTGGTATACATTATACAATAAAATATATTATATACATAACAAAATATATACATAAAATAGAAAAAACACATTTTTTTATATATTCTACTTACTTTTTTTAATTCTCTTATTTTCAAATAAAAAAAAGTTTTAATTTATGAATGGTGAGTATACACTATTTCCTATTTGCGAAGAATTGTAAGTTTGTTTATAGGAGTCGGGAACCCGCAACTTCGGACCAAAACGATGCTGTATGAAAGAGTAATTTCTGCTCTTTTAGTTACTCATCATTGAATATTTTTTTTATCAGACCCCTAGCAAGTTTAGTAAAACTTAGTAATTTTAATATACTTTTTAACAGTCTAAGATATATGTATCCGATTAAATCTAATTACAAGAAATTTAGCAAGAAATATTTAAAAGTAACTAATGTTATTACTTTTGACTGGTGTACGAACTTAAAACATTTCGGAAATATCAAATACTCAATGTGTAAAGACTTTCAATAAAATTGTATTGTTAATAATAAGAAAAAGACGAAGGAAATTAAAGAGAGTTCATTATATGAAATCATAAATAAAAAAACTGAAAGAAATTTTAATAATTGAATATTAAAATTAATTATGTAATTATTAAATAAACTACATGAAATTTGTATATATTTTCCGCTAATGAATAATTCAATAATAAAATGCAATTTATTAATGTCTGGCAATCAAAACATTGATTATGTAATAAATTTACAGTTAATAAAATGGAAACGCCGTAACTGAAAATTATGATTGAAAACAGCTGATATTAAAAACTTGATTAGTAATTAATTCCGAATTGTAATTACAAGTATACAAAACTAAAGCCATTATACATAATAATGTGATAATATTGTGTTACAATAATTAATGTTTGTGGCTGCAATTCTTCGAATATATGTATTATTTTTTTTGTATAATCATAATTTATATTTATGAACAGATACAGAATTACACACCAAAAAAATCCAATCAAATAGTAATTTGCTGGTACATGTTTAGTCCAGTTATTTGTATTTTCTCTCTTTCGTTTCGTGTATTTCTCTCGCCGCGGGTCGATGCCATCTGGAACAGGAAATTGTATTTCAGATTGCGAGTCGAGCTTTATTTCCCGCCCCTGATTTAATCAATTCGTAATTAAAATACGTGAAATGTGCCCAACAGTAAAACATATATATTTCTTATCTGGCGCATCGCATCGAGCATATTCGTAATTACTGATGTTTTATTATGTAACTAGTGAACAATTCGATAATGCTGACAACGTTACAGATGGATTTTATTTTAATGTTGTCATGGCAAACCTTCAAAATAATATAAAATTAATAAAAAATATTTTGTATAGAAAAGAAGGAATTTTCATTACAGGATGAAAATATACTGAAATTGAAATAATTAATCATTCATTAATATTAAGTACAATAATTAATAAGTAAGAAGTTTTCAATATTATGTACAAGACGCATGTTACCTTTTTAGATAGTTATTGCGATTATAACTTCTAAAAATTCTTGACTTGAAAAATGCAATATTTTTTGATATTTTTTTGTATTGTGCTATTTTTTGTTGTAATCAGTTTCTAATGATATAATAAGTTTTAAAAAATCTAATCTAATATTCATTTGGAGCATGAAGACGAATTAAACATGTCTGGTTTTCCTAAACTATGGGGTCAAGTTTAGAAAAACCTTCAAGCTGAAAGAACCAAATTACTAGGAAATTTACCTAGATTGTTGCTTGAGCTAGAAAAACCACGCAATGGCCAAGGAAGTAATTGGCATTGTAATTTAGAAAAATGTACTAGGTAATGGAAAAAATCTCTGATATATCGATAGGAATAAAGTACTAATAAAATGGCATCCTAAGACCAATATGTACGTAAGGCATACAGCTTTGGTAGTCTGCCCGCAACTCGAAAATTGATATAAACAGAAGTACTACTCGAAGACATTGAGGCTGTTCATAAGAACCATGGTATTTCACAAACGAGACGACTAATTCGTTTAATGTCACTAAGCTTGTAAAAGATGAGATCAGAAAAGCTAGCACAAACTACAATCAGCAAATGGAAGTCCATCCAAACCACCAGGCATAAGGATTGATAAACACAAGCCATCGACAGAGACTCAAACGATTCAAGCTAGGATATTTGCCAAACAACTGTGTAAACTGTACGTGTTTGTGTACTTATGGATAATATAAGCGCAAAGTGTTCGAAGTGAAGAATGATTGCTAAATCAATCCTTTAGTAGCCTTCTGATGCCACCAGTACTATAGCTTTTTGTCCTTATGGATAGAATGGAGAATTTGTGAAAAAAGAAATGTTTATTTCAAAAATAAATTATTACGAATTCTTGTAAAATAATGGCAAATAAATACATATATTTCCGAGTTTTTTATAAGATCAGATTGGGCGCGATAGCGTTCCTTGTCAATATTCTTGTTCTTTTCCAGTATTTCCTATTAGATTACACCTTCATAGTTGCAGTCTTATTGGGATGGAGAACTCTCGGCTTTGGTGTCTCAATCTTGAGCGGTTCTCGGGGATATAGCATCTACTCCACTCACCTAACAAATATCACGAGCAGCTTCCGTAGCTTTTTGACCACGACAACGTTAATACTAAAATATTTTAATTCCTAATTACTTTGAAACCGGTCGTTATCATCTGAATAGAGTGTAGACCAGAGATTTCTAAAATAGTCGATAATGACTCCCAGGAGTCGATATAACATTATTGGGGATGATTCAAGGCTTGATACAAAATAAGAACGATATTTTGTTCTTACTTTTTTTATTTTAATGATATAACGATTATTTAAACACAAATTATTCTTATTTCAATTAATGAGTCTACCGTTCGAAGATTAATTAATAAAATTGAGGAAAGTGCTTCAGTTATGAACAAAAAAACTCTACCATAATTAATGTCAACATGTCTACTCTAAAAATCAATAAAATTCCCTAATTAAATAATAATTTACTGTGTTTCATCAAAAAATTAAATCCGGCGTATTCGATGGGCCACCCTTTAGTATTATTATTCAGTATTTGTGGTATATAAATAAATACTATATAAAAAAAATTATGTAATTTCAGTAATGAAAAATTATTCCTTAAGATTTTCATACATTAAAAGTGCAAAATTGCAATTTACAAAGTAAATAATCTTTTTACAGTTGTTAAATAACTGATTTAGAATTGTTTTGATGTTGATTACGCAATTGTTTTAGACTAATTAAAAGACGGATATCGAAATATATAATTTATTTTGTACACATATTTTCTCACATTTATTAAATAAAAAATGTTTCCATTACATTTTTTTTTAAGAATGTGAGAAACATGTGTTGTAAACACGTTAAAAATGAACACGTTTATCACAAATTAAAATCATTTGAAAATGTTCAATGAATTATTGAAAATTCATTGAAAATTTTCCAATAATAATTTCATACCCTGCATTGCATTATTCTCTTAGCTTAACAAATCATCGGGTTGTAGCTGAAAAACAAAAAAATCTTAATTAGCTTACATTTTCATAAAATTATTTTAATTAATTGCAATTAAAACTTGACTGTAACATTACTGTTTTGATTTAATTGACGATTCCTTCGGTCACTTGATCTCAGCCTTCTACGAATATTCGTCTCTACAGTCTTAGTTCCTGGATGATTTAACGTTGGGTTTTTAAGTTTATCTTCGAGATATTCTTTGTACGTCAGCAATCTGCTAAGTATACCTAAAATGGTAAAATTATTATTTGATTTCAATTGACGATTTCAAGAAAAATACACACTAGAAATAGATTTTAATATGGCCTTACGCACAAACCCATCTTGAAAAGTTGCGCACACCGGAATCTCCAATTTTATAACAATAGGTTTGCTAAGGATTTTATCGAAATTGATGATTTTATAGAAAATTTGTCCATTCTCAACAAGCTCTACAAGAGCGAGAGCCTTAGCATTTAGGTAATATTCGGTCATATACTCTAAAAAAATTTAAAATTGGTATACATATTAGAAGTTTGTTTTCTAATTTACTTACCCATATTTTTTCTAAAATTTAATAATAATGCTTAAGGTTAACAAACTAGCACTATGTTTGTATCTTTGTGAACTGAATATTTTTACTATATATATATTAATTCACCGGTTGTATAGAAAAAAAAAACAATAATAAAAATAATATAAAATCTATAATATTGTATATATCACGAGCAATAGGTTTATAGTCAATCGCAGTTCAGTTCAAGACGCGGTACCGTACAGTTCTTATAGTACTTTCGAAAATAAATATTTTATTTACTCCTTTTTTAAAATTTAACATCTTGTGCACTTGTGCACATTTTTACGGCAGTGTGTACGTAATAATTGAATCGGAGGTGGAAAGCTCCGAAAATTCATCATGCTTTTCTGAGTCTATGGGTGTTACGTGGGAGCAGGGGAAGTGGAAACGAGGCCGACCAAAAAAGTCTAGAACCAAATCCAAAAACCAACAAAACTACGAGCAACTGATAGCGATATCAGTCAAAGAGCCGACGCAAATATTTTCAAAACTTCTCAAAATATATCTAGCAAATCAACCTCAATGAAAAACTATGACATTCGGTCTTTAAAGTCTTCTCTTTAAATATACGCGAGGCAACGACAAGAAGTCAGTCAACTGTCCGACATGTGGTTATAAAACCCAATTAACCGTTTGAACTCAATAATCTCAACAAAAATTTGCATCTTGTTAAAAACAAACAACTGCAAGACCACTGTCCTCTCATATCTTAAAGATATGCAGGGCCGGGGTCACATTTCAAGCGCCCACTAAAACTACTTTCGCCACATCGTTGTCTTGTGTGCTCACATAAATAGACCAAAACATTAACAAGGTGAGATTAGTCAGCACCTTAAATCAATTGTAATTGAACACATATTATGCAAAAGAATCATCTCGAATGTGACTGGTCAATCAACATTTAAAATCTGCATAATAATTGGATTTCTTCTACAGACTCCTTCATATCCCTTGTGGAAGATGGCAGGAATTTACGCACGCTAGAGAGGCTTGTCCAAATAGCAACAAATGGCAATGGTAAGCCTCTCACCAAGTATGCGGCATGCAACTCCGAGCATATGTAGCATGGTCGGCAAAATGCCCGAAGAGTCCCACGAAACCATAGAGATCAAACTCTTGCAACACATATATCAATAAGCTGAACTCTCCAAAAAATACGTTAAAGCAATGTTATTGTCTTCCGTTATTTTCTGTTAATATTAAGAACTCCCTTTTAGGCAAGACGAATGAAGTTATTCTTCACATTTTTGAAAATATTTTATGACTGTTTTCCATCTCCTTTGGCAATTAATAATGAGAAAAAGAGTTAATTCCTTTAAAATTTTCTATTTGTTTCTTTAAACCATGTATTTAACAATACACTAATACCTTACGGCCTAGATACGTTACGGAAAAGTCAAAAGCCTTATTGAATTAAAATTTAAAACCGGTTTTATGTTATCCAATTATAAAAATTTCTTCAAAAAAACAGTTTTTGAAAATTGGGTTTAAAAAAAAATAAGCCAGTCTTTCATTTTAGACTGCTATTATTTTTATTTATTTATTTTAAGCAAATAGAAAATAAAATATTTTATCAGTAACATATCACAATATTAATTATCGATTGATTTCATTTATTTACTTGCACAATTTATTGTGCGTATTCATTATTATTAACAATTTTAACGGTGAATGTATCATCGTTTTATTGGGTATATCGAAATAAATTATTGTTATTGAAAATTATTAAGCATATTGTTTTATTTATTTGTAATGAAATAAGTTTTTAGTTTTTTCTAAAGCCCTATATCGGTTGGAAATCTTGTTCTTCTCATCTTTGGGCAATTCTGCATATGTCTCGTTATATCCTTCAGGCTGAAAACGTGGATCCCATCCAAAATCCCTGGGTCCTCTTGGATCCACAATCACTCATTTGGTGCATCCTTGGAACAGCACTACTTCATCATACTTTTCACCTGAATAATAGCCGAAGGTACAAATTGCTTCAGCGGACTTGTCCAACATCCAACATCTTGAAGAGTCCAACTTCTCCAGGAACCATTTTATGTATGGACCAGGCATGCCTTTCAAACCGTCAAAACATAGGCAAGTGTCCTCTACTATGACGGGTGTATTCAACTGTTTATATGCCTCCATACACTTTTTAATTGAAATTTCTTTAATTTCACCCTGTAGTTCAGGCAAATCCAAACCTTTGTTTTCAATTCAATGGTCTTCTCTTTAAATACACGCGAGGCAACGACAAGAAATCAGTCAACTGTCTGGCATTTGGACTCAATAATCCCAACAAAAGCTTGCATCTTGTTAAAAACAAACAACTCCAAGACCATTTTCCTCGCATATCTCAAAGATATGCAGGGCCCGGGTCACATTTCAAGCGCCTACTAAATTCACTTTTTATTCTGTTTGGCGACCCCTGGTCTAGACACTATAATTACTTCGTTTCAAATTATTTACAATATGTTTTTGATTTGATTACATACCTTATGCACGGAGTATTGATTTTATGATTAGAAGACATTATTAACGGTATGAAGTAAGGAAAGCGACATTATTGCATGAAGTTATTAGATGGATCCATTAGCTGCCAACGATCCATTCAAAATAATGCAATTTTGTGACGATGCTTCAGAAAATTACCTTGAAAGATCGATGAAACCGATTATCTTCACGAATATAACCCTAACTTAACACGCAAAATGTCTTTGAAATTATTCGAATTAGTCGACTGTAAATCAATAAAAAAAACATATTATTATGTTCTAGAAAGTTGTAAAAATATATAATAATAGAGAAATAATTAATAATAATATTAAGTTGCATAACAAACGAAAACGACAAAGAAATGTGGTATTTGTTTCTAATTATTGTATTCAATTCAAGTAATTTCTAGTTGTCAAATGTATTACATTATTATTTTTACATTTGAATACTACTAAAGGACCTTTTGGTGAATTAATCTGACATTCAAATTTGTAACTTAAACAAATATATCACAAATTTTTGTTGGATGTATTATATAACTCATGCAATGAAAATTGTTGTTGTATGTAGATTTCTTATTTTCTATGAATCAATTCTCAAATACTTATAACTTGTTATGTATTGATATAATGGCTGGGAAATTTCGGCAATATTGTATCTAATTTCATCTTAAGGTTAATGTAACTTATTCTAAATATTTACTAATGACAGCATATAAAAATCTCAAATTTGGCGGCAATTTTGAAAAGTTAGTTAGAAAAGTCTTTTGGAGTACTCTGATAATATGTACATAATTATTTATGCCCTTTTGACCGTGCAATGCAATGATATCAATCCAACTAGTTGGCGGTTCTGCACAGTGCATTAATATGGTATAAAACGCATTGGAAATTCGCCACCCAATTAACGTGCTAATTCGCTTAACGGTCGACAATTTAGGTATGCATTATGTGCTTTATGCGAGTGTTAACTGATTGCTTTAAAGTTTATAACTCAAATAATTGGATATAGTACTAGCAATCATTATTTTCATACTCAAGAATCTGTAAATATATAGAATTAAATAATTTGTTGCATAATATGTGTAACAGTAATATTCCGAACAGCAGGACTTTGGTCAATATCTTTTTGGTCAAAATATGATGTTCTCAGGGTATCAGCGCTACTATCCAATATATTCCCGGTTGCATAACATGCATAATAGAGCAATTCCCATTGGATCGATATGTGCGTCGAGTGTCAGAGGTGAATCGCTATAGTAAAATTCAGTGATTGGCTTTTAAAATGGATATTGGAAGTGCAGATAACGTAACGGATTACCGTGCCGCAGCGTATAAACCGCAGGATGCAATTTGTCAATACGTATATAAATTTTTGCTGTTGCCCGGTTCAAAATTCAACGCACAAATACTGCCGCTTTTCATTTGTGTATATTCCATAAATTTCGCATGCAAACCATTGCGAAAGCAAACAGATCGAAGACTTCTTCGCTACTTACCCACCACGCAAATATTATGATACGCCGCAACGGGGGATTCCCCGAGGTTGTGACCGGTTTCCATCTCAAAAGAATTTTAGTTTAAAATCTTGTTTCCCCTGTGTTTGCGGAATGGAACTTTTCATACAATTTCCAACAAATTTTATTAATCAAACAGAACTGTGTACGGCACAGACTTTCCTTTTTTTCGTGAATGAACCGATTTGTACGTTGGTTTTCTTATGTAAATTGACTTTTTTGTCGTTGAATACATTGATGCATATTAAATACTTAACGCGCAACTTCCTGGATGATTTTTTAATGAAATCTATTTAGGCTGCATTTCTGGTCCAAGAATATTCATTTAAATTTAATGAAATTATTTAAATAATTCTTTAATAATTCATTTATAATGAAATATACAATCAAAGAATTAAACTTATGCATATTTATTATTATTATTATTATACAATTAGTCGACATTTTCATAAAAAATCACATGGAAACAATTCTAAAAATGACATTAGGTAATCAGAAAAGAGAATAGTGCAAGTAAAACGAAATGAATTAAAACATCTTGGTATCTGATGATAATCCTGCAGTAGTATCTAAATCACTGGTTCTCAAACTTTTGAATATAAAGTTTGGAAATCTCTACAGGTTATTAAGGAAAAAACAAGCATGTCGAATATACAAATTATATAAATACTCCAATAAAAATGTCTAAGAAATATTTTCATCACGAAAAGATTGTAAAATAATATTATTAATATATATAAAAAAAATAGTACAATAATTCCATATACATGGCTTAAAATATTGAAATCACTATTAATAGTAGGGTTTTGTCGGTTTTTAAAACCAGTTTCTGAAAACCGTTTTTTTTTTAATTTATAGAATTGGAAACCGGGTTTTTGAACCAAGACTTAAAATATAAAATAAATTAATATTTTATTCCTATCTCTATATAGTTTTCTATTGAATACATTTTATTTTGTTGTAGATTAATGCAATATTCTCTATTCTTTAAGTTTTATTTTGTGAGAAAAAGAAAATATGTTGCAGAAATCCTTTCTCTTTTTATTTTTTTTTGTCAAATAAAAGAAAAGTTGAGTAGAAAAATTGAGATTCGTTGTACAAACCCTAATTTTCCTAACTTTCTCAGTAAATTGTCTTTTTTTAGGCATTTAGACAAATTGAAAATGGTAATTTATAAAAGTTCAATTATTTATTAATTTCGTGAAATGTTTATTCAGTTATTTTATAAAATAACTATTCTATATTTTATATAATAAGGCCAACTTTTAATTAAATCATGTTTATAAAGAGAATATTTTTGTACCTATTTTTCATTATATTCAAAATATCAAGTTATAAATCTATGTTTATTCAAATGTATGTAGTACATTAATATTATAATCACTAACTAATGTATCGAAAAATATAAATATGCTATATATAGATAAGAACCGACTTTTCATAAAAATATTTATATAGTGAACTTTAGCGGTAAAAAAAAGATAAAATTGAAGTGAAATTTATTAAAATTGAGAAATTTTCATTTTCTCGAAGGAGCTCGTCTCTAAAATTTGGGATGTTGTAACTAGACTACAACATCCATATATTTACATTCCAAGTGCTCTTAGTGTGATTGAACTCCTTCCTATTGATTTTACTCTTCATATGCTGTCGCATGATATTTCAAACCCACTACTACAAATATTATTACTAGGCTTCCACTTCTTTATATAACCCATACAATCCTTTCAATAACTATACTCAAGGATAATAATTAGAATAATTGTGTGTGTTCAATTACTTCGTTTTTATAAGTAAAAATACTGTGTCCAAAATATGCATAAGTTTCTTCGTAAAGAGAATGAAATGCTTACATATAAAGTGAAAATACATTTTACAAAATATGTTTTTTTGTGCTTTTGTTCTTTCAATTAACAATTTCCTATACGAAGATAACAGTGATCATAAAAAAAAACATTTTTTGCTAATAAATTTAGATCATTTTTAAAATAAAAACATTTTCACCTAAAATTTAAATTTGGATAATATTTTTCATCTTCATTTTCTTTGTTTCCATTGCTAACAAGGTGTTCTAAATCTTCCACTGAAAACCATTTTCTTCTGCATTCAATAAATTACTAACATCCTCTTCATCGACTTCTTCAAAACCTATTTATTAAGCTATTGGGTCAATCATTTTTTGGATGTTATTTTCTTCTTCTAGTAAATCTTCTGGTCATATTTTATCGGATATTATCAAATGTTGAAATTAAATTGGTATACTTTTTATATCAAATAGGGCTTGACTTGAGGACTTTGCTATATTCAAGCTTCGTTATCAAAAGTAACGTTAACCAAGGTACTACTGTATATATTCTAATAGAACTTCTTGTATAAGTAAAATATTTTTTTATGTATAAAAAGTAACTTGAGATTTGAATATTTTAGTTATTTAACTTTACATTTTGGAGAAAATTTTTATAAAAAGTAAAATATTTGATTCGTAAAGATATGTAAACGCTGCGCAGTAACATGTAACAGTAACAGTAATTTTCATTGTGAATCGAACATGTATGCAAGTAAGCATAATGAAATAATTATAGTTACATATATTAATGAAATTGGTAAACATGCAAGAATTTAAAAATGGTATCAAAATCCAAGATCACTTATTATGATATTACCCATACTAATTAATGTTAATGCTGGAAATGATACAGTGTGTATATGACTTAATAAACATATACACAATATTATTGAATATTGAGTAATTTCTGTAATATAATTTAGTTTGCTCATGAAATTTTGTTTAGGTTGTCAAGTACATGAAATTTGGTATGTATACATACAAACTTCTTCTCCTATCTATCTATCTACCTATCTATTTATACATTACATACTTTTCCAAATTATGTAATGAATAGAAAATTTATATTTTCAACAAAAAATGTTTTAGTTCTTCATGAATGCCTTTTTACAAAAACGTTCAAGTCTCTAATTAGTTTGAAAATAAATAAAATGAAACTTTTTCCGTGAAAAGATTCGTTGCATCTACTGAATGTTCGGGATGTTTGAAAGAGTTCTCCAATTTAAATGGAGGACAATATTTTTTTTACTACGGGAATCGAGGTTAACGCTACAAAATGTACGTATCAATTAGCGCCGTTTTTCGTGTAGTCGAACTCTGAGCTCGCACGTGAATTGCGTCCGGGCTAAGTTTGCAAATTCGTTTATGAATTAATACTAAATGAGTTTTGGCGAACGCGAAACTTTCAACGCCAATTATCCGAATTGGTTTCGGCGCGCCCGCAAAACTCCAAAACTACTATCGATCCAATTTCGCAACGCTCCAGTGATTTCGCAAAACTCATCATTTTATGCAATTATTTTTCCTATAATTGATTCGGCCCTTTTGGCAAATGACCGAAATTATATCGTAACCTTGACGATTATTCATTGAGAGAGAACTGACTGCGTATTTTGCGTAATTTTTGTATTTACTTTTAATCAATTCTGTTTGAAAATAATTAATTGATAATTGAATGTGGATGGAATGTACTTTTCTACCACTGCTTAACAGCAGAAATAAATATTGTGGTATCAAAAATTTTAATTTATTATGAAGATATTTAATAGTTTAATACATGTACAAGTTATGATCTTATCATATCTTTTATGATGTGCTAATAATGAATGAGTCGGATACATCTTTGTGTATGTATGAATGTATACAGTACATTTTGATTATTATTGATGAATTTGTATATTGTGTTACTATAAATTTATTTGTTATTTAATTTCTCTCATTAGTTTTGGTTTTTATTATTAATTTCCAATTTTTATTTGTTCTTGGATCATATATATCTTAATTTTTGTAATTGAATACTTTCTGTATTGTATAATATAATTGAAGTCAAAATATTACCCAGAAGGTTATTTTTTTTCGCAAAAAAACTCATATCTTCTAAACGGCTAAACCTTTTTTCAAGAAATTTTGTATGGTAAATTATAATAATCCAGCAAATAAAATAAAGTAAGCAGAATTTTAATATTACCCCTGCTTTAAAAGATTCTTCTGAAAATTACCGAACTCCAACCCTAACAGACTCTTTTATGGGGTCAATATAATATTTTTTTTATGGTAATTCATTCTGGATAGAAGTGCGCTTCATTTGAATATTTCTTTATAAAAATATATACAGCCGGTTGTGAACTTATAATTGAAAACATAATTAGTCAAAGTTCGTGGTAATACATACGCGTAAATAAAAAAAAATATTTATTCTAAACCGATCGATAGTTTCCATTAAAATTATTTCAATACCAGCATTTTCTTTATATTAAATTATATTTTTTTTAAATTTCTGGGTGATAGTTCAGAAGTTATGAACTTATAATTGAAGCGACAAATTTTGAATGCGCTGTGTAAAATGGTACGCGCAATTATGTTCGTTTAAAAACATCATATCTTCTAAGAAGCTAAACATTTTTCGATGAAATTTTGTATAGTTATTCAAAGAAAACCTAGTAATAAAATAACCCAAGTGCAATTTTGATATTACAGAGGTAATACATTATAATTTACAACGTAGAATACCTTTTTTTTATGGCGGATAAAATATATTTTATTATCCTAAGTTGCTGAGGTTGCAAATTTGTTTTTGATGAATTTTGCCTTTCACAAAAAATGTTTTTATTTATATGACAGCAAATTTCAAAATATTAAACTATATATCGGATAAATCGAAAAATTAAACAATCAGTTTTCAATGAAATTTTGTAAATCAAGTAATAAAGTTACCCAAGTGCAATTTTTATATTATTGTTCATATTATAATGTACAAAACAATAAACCTTTTATTTTTATCGTGGTTAAAATATATTTTATTACAACATTTTACTCAAGTTACAAATGTGTTTTCTATGAATTTTGCTTTTAAAGATCAATTGAGCCGTTTAAAAGAATGACAGCAAACTACAAAATATTAAACTATGTACCGGATAAGAAGAAAAATTGATGTTAAAGTCGTATATAAAGAAGTTTTTGTTATAAACAATATCATCCAAATACCAACAAATAGTAGTCGGACGGTGTTATATGTGGACTATATGGAGGGTGAGGTAGAATATCCCATTAAATCCATATCAACTTCTGTATGGTGTTTACAGATGTATGAGGTCTCGCATTATTATGTTGAAAACATATTCGTCGTTTATTAACCATTACAGATCGTTTTTGGGCAAGAGCTGTCACAAATTATTAAGTTGTTTACAGTACTTGACCGAATTTGATTATTTTCTAGCAGTTCATAATAGACAACCCTTGAAATCCCACCAAAAACACAACATCACTTTCATTGGAAGTAGGCTAATCTTTGGTGATGTCTGGGGAGCACAGCCTTTTTTAGACAAAGATCTATGCTGAAGATTGTTGTAGAGTATCCATTTTTCATCCCCAGTAATCCAATTCTGGAGAAAAGGTTGTTGCTAGTTTCTTTTAATGAGCTGATCATATGGAATCCTCACATTAGAACGATTGACGTAGCCATCAACATATGGACTTCTAAATACGACATATTGAAGACGTCCGCTATCTCAGCTCATTATTTTTGATTGCTTGAAATGTCGAAAATTTTTGTTTTTTTTTTTCTTTTATTTTACCCTAGACAAGGTCAGAAACTAGATATTAAAATTAAATAAATTAAAATGTAGCCACAACTGTACACTACAAATATCGTTATAAAAAATTCTCTCCCATCTGGAAAAATGCGAAAGGACTGGTCATATTCAACATTTTATCAATGTATTGTTTTATCTTGTTCTGTTATATTATGTTCTAGTTTGTTCCTGTTCTGATGTATCACATTCTTTCTTGCTGTGTTTGGTCATGGAATCGTAGACAATATGTGTATATTTGTATTGTCGTCCGACATATATTTTAAAATTTCCGATTAAAAAGTTAGCAATATTATGTAATCTACTCCATCCAAATAGGGAAAAAGTCTTGTAATTTTACATGCAGAAATATAAAATACATGAATATAAACTGACTTAAAAATAAATGCAGTATAAACAAGGCATTATGCGAGTATGGTAGTTAAGTGACTCTTGATGTATTTTCCATATTATCCCATACCCTCACTATATTTTATGCACGTAAAGCTACGTAACCCCCAGCGATTTGTATATGTAATTTAATCTGAAACGCTGAATGATAGCGGGCACTTTATTGCCGAGGGACGTTACGCTTTGAAAGAGTCGCAAAATGATATCGTGGGCGGAAGAAGAACGGATGAGGTAAAGCAAGGGCGATCACAAAATACGTGTAATTCAATTTCGCACCCCGTTACCTTTAATGAGCATACAAAAAAAATTGTACGTCGTCACGCCTTCATTATTATTATTATTATCATCATCATCCACTTCGACGACGTTCTTACCCATTCCAAAGCAATTAATGCAGACATTTTGAACGATGCAAATCCTCTACGATAATTGATTTTGCAGTTGTTTAATTAATGTATGTATGCAATTTATTAGCGCTTGGGAATTTCTCTGCATCGCACGTGTTAGCGTCATTTCAATTTCTGCGTTTCGCAATTTATTTAATTTGTTTCGTTCAAGCTGCAAATGCAATTTCCAAAGCAAACCATAATCACTTTGCAAATTATTAATCGTTTCATTGCATATTAAATTGAGATTTTCATTTATGAAGTTTACAGTTAGATGAAATGAACCGCTTTGTTTGCAATAAAACTTAAATAAACACGTATTATAATACAATTAAAAGTTGTTTAATTAATTGTTTTTTTTTTCAATTTCACACAAATATTTTCAAAGATAGTAACAAGTAAACACACCAAAATTAAAGAAACTATTAGTAAATCGTCAATATTGTCAAACACTTGCATTTACCGATTTGTTCAAAAAGTAGAACAAATTTTCTAATCAGAATTAATGTAAAATGATGTTGATTACATCCTTAAATTTTTATTAAAGTAATTAATGCGAGGTAAATTTGTAGTATATGATAAGATTTAACTTCAATTCTATAAATGCATATCATTATTATTAATTAATGTACATATTAAATATTCGCCTGTATCACGAAAATCTGTTACGAAAGGTCGTTGGTTCAATTCAGAAAAACCAACAAAAATTTGTGGTGGTGGCTGTTAAACCCGAAATGAGGCCGGAGAGATTTATATCAATAAATAAATTGATATAGATTTATATGAGATTTATATCAATAAATAAATTTATATAAATCTCTTTAAAAAAATACATATTCATTTAGTACAGGGAAATGTACCAAGTAGCATTTTATGTGCCGTTCATATGTCAATGTTGTCAACTAAATGTCATCTGAAATTTATAGCTGTCATTTTTGTCATGGTAGTGTCATCATAATTAGGAACTACTACTATTAACTATATTAAAATGTATTTGATACACCTACAAATGTGATGCGTATTTTAAGTTCCATCTAAGAAACCAAACCAAAATCTGATTTGACGGCGATTAAGTTGGACAATGAGCTGAAGAAGTTAGACGAGCTGCAAAACGAACTTGAGAAAGAATACATTACAGGTCCTTTACAAAAAAATATAAAGACAGATCTTAACATAGTGTACGTAGGGAGCGTGGACTACGAGACGACGGCTCCTATTCTGATGGCCCATTTCCACGGCTGCAGCATAGTCAACAGGGTCACCATACCTGTGAACAAGTTTAACAGCACTCCAAAGGGTTTCGCCTACATCGAGTTCTCTGAGCCTTCATCAGTGGAGTTGGCCATGACTTTGGACCAGTCTCTTTTGCGTGGAAGAAAGATCAAAGTGGTCCCGAAGAGGACAAACAAACCTGGATTCTCGACCACCAACCGTCCGACCAGAAGTGATGCATTCGGTTACCATGGCAGAGGTACACTCAGACCCAGCAGAGGTTACACAGGAAGGATCCCTCATACTCGTGGCTACGGCGGAGTTAGCCGCTTCACTCCGTATTAATAAATTTTCAAGACTTCCACTAACTTGTATATAATGATTCAGGCAATTTATCCTAGGACAAGCATCTAACAGATTACAAAAGGTACCAGGAGTGGCGCTAGAGAATATGAATTCAATATATAATATATACACACAAAATAACACTTTTGATTATTTTTAGAAACATTATAGTCATGTAGTAAAAAAGGCAACAAACAAAACTTAATGTTGCACATTTTGTTCAAAGAAAATAAGAGTTCGAGTAGGTTCAAAAAAGAATGTAAGATTATTACAAGGCGAATTAGTAAACACAGAAACTATTCTAGCACCAGATACTTCAGCAGTGAAGAACATATAACATATTGTAATATAAACACATATTTTAAATTGTAAATAATTAATTAAAAAACAGTTATTTTTTATTTAACGAATAGCAAATACTTCATATAATGCAAAATTATTCACTAACTAAAGTAACTTTTATAAGCTATTAAAAATATGTTTTCGTATGTAAAAACTTGAATATAATAAACTAACTAGTTCACTTGTTACATTTTACGCCATTGTTATGAATAAATTAATCGTATTGAACTCAAATTTAAGAATTCTTTCAGAATTATTTTCAACTCAATTTAATTATGTTGTATATTTATACAAAATAAATTCTGTCTATTTCTGTTTTTACACTGATACAATTTTCAGCCCTTTTTTGGTGGTTTTTATTCCATTTAATTAAAGCTTGAACATCGATTCTAACCCTTTGAATAAAACTGTGGATAAAGTTTTATTTAATGAAAATTCCGGTAATCTTTCTAAATCTTATAAACATACTCTTATCAATATATAATTTATTTGGTACCTATTTTATTTATTTTGTTTATTATCTATTATCGATCTAAGTTTTTCTGCTTATTGTATTATTAAATTACAAAAGCATAAAATATTGCGTAATGATCGACATTGTATCTAAATAGTATAACTATGGTAATTGTTATTATTTATATACATTTATACTGTGCTGTGTACGTAAATGACACACAAAGCTCATAGAAAGAATTATTGGTTCACATATTTCTACTCCAATTTATATTATTCTATTATAATGACGTTAAAAATAGTTACAATATTGCAATTTCCAGATAATAAAATGTTTACGGATAGAAAGAACTTTGTAGCAGTTAACTCTTTGTTTCTTTTATTATTGCAATAAATATTATTATAATAATATACCAATTTATTTCATATTTAATTTCAATGTAACAGACAAAAAAAAATGCGATGACAGAAACTATCAAGCAAGCAAGAAATTTTCGTCTTGGTGTGTAAAAATTGGAATATTGACAACATCTTGTATTCCTTTGTCTTGCTTCTAGAGACTAGACTTCTCTTATAAAAAAATAATCAAAAGTGTTTTTGGTGTATGTATTATTTATTCAAAGTATATTTAAGGAATGTCCTAAGACTAATTAATGCACACATTTGCTGCTCCGGTCAAATGCCAAATTTACATATTCTATAGCGCCACTTCTGGTCAGTTTTGTAATCTGTTAGATGCTTGTCCTAGGAAGAATTACCTGAATCATTATATACAACTTAGTGGATTTTCTGAAAATTTATTAATACGGAGTGAAGCGGCTAGCTCCTCCTTTATGACCGCTGTATCCACGACGAAGAGCGAACCTTCCGGTAAAATCTCTGATGGGTCTGCCTGCACCTCTTCCGTGGTAGCCGAATGCATCACTTCTGGGCGGACGGTTGGTGGTGGAGAATCCAGGTTTGTTTGTCCTCTTCGGGACAACCTTGATATGTCTTCCGCGCAAAAGAGATTGGTTCAAAGACATGGCCAAATCAACTGATGAAGGCTCAGAGAACTCGATGTAGGCGAACCCCTTAGGAGTGCCGTCAAACTTGTTAGCAGGTATGGTAATCCTCTTGACGACGCCGCAGCCGCGGAAATGCGCCTCAAGAACGGTAGGCGTCGTCCCGTAATCCACGTTCCCCACGTACACACTGTTATGATCTGCCTTAATACTTTTTTCCAAAGAACCTGTAATGTATTCTTTCTGAAGTTCGTTTTGAAGCTCGTCTAACTTCTTCAGCTCATCGTCCAACTCGTTGGTCGACGTCACCTCTGCGTCCAACTCGTTGGTCGACGTCACGTCTGCGTCGTATACTGGAACGATGCTCGTGTCAGATGGTCCTTGCAAGGTTATGTCTTCACCTACAGCCACCACTGAATCTACATCATCCATAAGAGAATTATTAATTTTCTCAACTGAAGCCATTGCTATGGTAGTAGTAGTATTTTTCAAAACTGGAAAGCAGAGATGTTGATGCACACAAGTTGCAGTGAAAACTGATGCTTATCTATTTTTCGCATCAGGTATTTATACCCAAAAAAGGTGCGTTTATTGGGGGTTGAAACTAGTGGGGGCAAAGAAATACAAACTTTTTCTTTTCAAAAATACTTGCATTTTCAATGCTATACTTACATTCTCACAAACGCAATTATTTGTATAGTTTTATTTTGTCACATCACATTTTGCCATATTTCTGGCAACTCTATGAATTTTTTTTTATTCATATTACAAAATCGATTTTAATTCCCTGATTTACACGTTACCTAGACGTGTAAATCAAAATTGTAACTTTTCGAATGTAAAATTGAAAAGTGTGCATAGGATACGTCATTTTCAACATTTTTTTTTTTTAACCAAAACGTGTAAAGAAAGTTCAGTGTGAAATAAGGAATAGGTTATTTTCAAAATTTATTTTTAATTTTTTAAACCGTGTCAAGGCGAAACGTGTAAAGAAAGTACCGTGTAAAACCTTATTCTTTAAGAAATTTCTTTGCATTATAAACCAATGGTATTTTAAGACTAATAATCCATTAGAATACCTCGTAAATAGTAAATGCCACGTATCCAACCAAAATGTAAGCTTCAAGATAAATTTAATTGTACATAACTTTACTAATTCTGAATCCATTCAAAATTTCGTTTTATCATTTTGAAGGATTTCATTATTTTCCATTTTACAATTTATATCATAGTTACAAATTACATCAATTTCTTACTTATTTCTTAATAAATCAATGGAATAAAACTAATCAAATATTATTTTATTTGTAATTATATTGTAATAAATTGTAAATTAATTTGATAAGAACTAAATACAGTGGAATCTCGAATAACGAACAAAATAAATTGTTAGAAAAATGACCTGTTAAATAGAACGCTTTAAAGTGTAATATACTAAAATTTAGCTTAATTTTAACTTAGTTTATAGGGGGAAAGTTTAAAGTCTAAATCCGCATAAAAATAAATTGCACAAAAATAGATTTGACCATATAAACAAATAATAATATTTATTGCAACAAACATAATAACAAAAAATAAAACTAAATTGAATTGCTGCAAATAAAGAAATAAAATTGATCGTCTATAAAAAAATGTGTACTATATTTTTTTATTTTGTTAAATTAAAATTACAGCAATTCCTTGTATTGATCAAATATCGAATTAAGACCATTAATATCAAATGATTTTTTTAATAGATATTCTCTCCTCGATTTTTCAAGATAATTTGCTCATAAAGATTATGATTGCTTAATTAATTTTGAATAATACTAAATCACAGAATAATACGATTTCGATATACAAAAGAATGAAAATGGAAAAAAAAACTTGTGTTTTAGATTTTTACAAAATAATTACCATAACAAATGAAATTACAAATAAATATAAAAAACAATTCTGATCATTCCATCCTACAACAAAATATATTCTCAAATTTTAATAATTAACATTTTTTTTTTGATCTTCTGATTTAATGGTATGGTAAAAATTAAATATACATTTTTCATGTAATGATTAATATTCAGTAAGTGTTTCCCAATCTTTTCCTGCAAAGGAACACTTTGTAAATCCTGAAATTTTCACGAAACACATTGTTGAAAAAGTTGAAAAAATTAAATGAAGTGTTTTCACATTTCATTGATTTTCTCGAAAACTATAATAAATAAAATGGATCCAGAAAATGATTATGAGAGCTGGATTTTTGAGGAATGTAGGGAGTATTCATACATTGTCTATTTTGTGGTGTAGGTAATAAACATATAATCAATAAAGTTTAAAAAAATGTTTACAAACATTTATTATTTATTTATTTAGTAATTATTTCAGTCCAGTTTTACACGGAACACCTATTAACTTTTCGCAGTATCCCAACCTATGTTCGGCGAAATACTGGAACATAACTTTAATCTTTTATTATGAATGTAATGAAAATAAAAATTGGACCAAATTAAAATAGAAATATTACTTTTTATAAAATTAAT